AAAAAAGAAAAAAAAAAAACAAGTATATAAATTAGACATATCAACTTATTGCATTGGAGTTTTGCTACAAATCAAATAACATATTCTAACATATTAACATATTCGATTTTTATGCCTTGATTTAATGACTTGAGTCGAATTTTTATACGAAACATAAAACACAAAGCATAAAAGTTATCTGCCATCAAAGCGCTACCGCCGTTTCGGCTGTGTAACCCATTCCAATGCAAGGAGTTAATTTAGCGAATATGGCATTCTTGACTCGATATCAGGTATATATCTTAAAAAAAAAAAAACATTGCACCATTACGTCATATGCGCAAAATACATTCATCACTCATCACAATTCTTAATCGTCCAACGTTATAATTTCGACACTATCATTAGCCAGCTTGTCCGGTGCTTTCTTGCTCGGAACGTTAGCGGGCTTTCCCCTCGATATATCATAGATTGACATACAATCGGCGGTCGTTGGTGGGTTTCTCAAAGTTTCGGGAACCTTTTGCGGCACCACGCTCACGGAAGATGAAAGACTTTTCGCATAATCCATGCTCGGCTTCAACGGTGCCTTTTGCTGCGGTATTATTTCCAAATGCGTGTGCTGCTGCAGCTGCGACAGCACCGAGAGCGCCTCGACCGTGCTGCCTTGAGGGAACGTAGCCGGCAGTGAGCTCGGCGGCACGTCCATCGCCGCAGCTGTCGCCGTCGGTTTCGGCTTGGCAGCTTTCTTATAGGTGTGATACTTAGCGCTCGCGGTGGTCTTGATGACGCCGGGCTGCGGGCCGATGGCGCTGACCGAGATGCCGCTCAATTCCGGCGGTATAAAAGGCGGTTGCGACATCGCGGCGGTGCTCGCCGACGGTATCGTGCCCAGTAAGTTCGGAAAATTACCGGACATCGGCATAGGCATCACCGATGCTTTCGTCGTCAATTTCGGCTTCCTCGCGGGATGATTCGGCACGCTCGTGTGCGTCGAGTAAGGTCGCTGGGGATTCTTCTTCGATAACAGTTTGTGCTGTAACGACGTGCCGGAACGCGATACGTTGCCCAAGTTCATGGGCAACGCCTGTTGCTGTTTCATCATCACCGGCGCGCCTATGGGCGCGTGGGCGATCTGCGGCACGGCAGCGGCTGGATTCGTCGTCACGGTACTGCCACTGTTCTTCAAAGGAGAATACGAGAGCGGCGTGTTGTGCGCAGGTTGCGGTTCGGTCAGCGATTTCGAAACGCGTATCTGCGGCGCGCCCATCTGCTTCGGCGGGCTGCTCTTCACCTGCTGAACGATCGACGGCTTCAGCAGAGACACTTGCGCCGCCGCCGCCGCCGCTGCCGCCGCCGCCGCGTTCGTGGGCGCGTGTAACACCGACTTCGTCGGTGATATTTGAAGCGACTTCGGAATGTGAACGGGTAACGCCGGATCAGTCTGCGCGCTCGGCTGCTTACTGCTGGGTTTCGTCTTGTGATGAGGCGGCTGCTGCTGACCGCTCAACGAACTGCTCACTGGCGTTATCGATATATTGGGTCGATCTTTCGTCATCGACATGGTTGTGCTGGTCTTAGTTGCCGCTTGGTGATACATGGGTGCAGCAGGTCGTGAGGTTGACGCTGTCGAATTGCTCAAGCTCAGCAACTGTTGCACCGACATTGTCATAGGGTCCAAAGATCCTTTTCCTAAATTGCTCAAGTTACCGATAGTGCTTGTCGGGGTGTTAATATTTGAGCTGGATGTACTCATTGTCGAGGCCTGGCTGATGCCAGTTATAGTGGTGCAAGGATTGCTATTTAAGCTAGCTGGATTGGTCAACGACGATAGATTACTCTGATACTGCCGAAGGATGTCCTGATAGCTTCCTACTTGATTGAAGTAGCTCATAGCCGACAAAGGATCCATCATATTGCTACCGAGTCCGCTGGCAAGTAGAGCCGACAACATGTTTGCATCGACCAGAGGGTTCATGAAGTAAGGATTCATCAAAGAACGATTTGGTCCGGACGCACCCATGTAATTGGCCAAGTTATTCTTGGAACTGAATTGATTCATTACATTGCTACTCTGCTGCATGGCGTGCTGCAGGTATTTGTTGACGTTAGGTGGACGTCCTCTCGGACGTCCAGTGGTCGTTAGGTTTCTGTGTGGTTTGCGATTCTGCAGAGACATTTGCAGAGACGTTGTGCTCGCCGGTACTTGAGACGTTGGCGCCTGCGATAAAATTGTTTTCAATTAGATAATGATAGTACAGCAGCGGTGTTGATAATACACTGTGTTTATTTACCGGAATAGCAGTGGTGGTTGAAGGTAGCACGTGAGAGCTATTGCTGTTGTTAATCGATGCGATTTTATTTGCTTGTATTTGACGTTGGCAATATTTAATAGCGATCTCCAAAATATTTCCCTCCAAATTCTAAAACGTAGCAAGAGCGAAAATATAGTATTGGAATTATCGCAATTGCAATTTAACAATTAAAAAACTTTTTAAATCGTCTAAAATTATTATTCAAAACATGCAAAATAATTACTATAAAAAAGCTTTGTAAAAAATATAATCTCGATTCAAACAATATATACAATTTATATGTTACAGAGCTTTCCGCAAGTCCAAATTATTTCAAATTTATGTTATTTATAATTATTATTTTAAAAATAAGTTCTTCAATTGCACAAGAGTGAAAAATAATTCATAATTATTTAGTTGTTTTTTTTCTTGTCGTTCTTTCAAAAGAGGTTTTATTTGAATGACACGATGTGATAAGATTATCGTAATAAATATGCATTTTCAGCGTTAAAAGTGCTCTTTCATTCACTCTTTGAATACTCCTTAATAAATAGTAGTACTCAACATTTGTTCATCAATGAGTGAACATATTGGCAAATACAATTTATTGTTATCGTGCGAAGATAAGATCAGGTAATAAACTAAATATAAAATGTGCACAACATGATAATGAATATTTCTATTCAATTATATGCAAAGTGCAAATTACACAGACGGAAATAATTTCCATAATCGCATGAGTAATAAAAAAAATTACAAAGAGATTAAATATACTCACTTTATTCCCCGTATACATTTTGTATGTATCTGTTAGCAAGGTTGCAAATATTTGTACAGTTGATTCTTTACCCTGAAAATGTTTTTGAACAAGCTGATATGTTTCGTACACATCAAGCAATACTTGTGTTCTAGTATCAGTTCTGATTAGAGTGACACTATCTATTGTGCTTGTTGAGCCTATCGTCTGCACTCGACTCCTTAGCGACTGTTGACAAAGCGTCAGAGCCTGCCGAGATAATTGTTCTCTCTCGGAATCACGTAAGTATTTCCTAGATGCAAAAAGAAGATAATGTTAATATTATCTACCCTTTTCCACCGCATTTTCCTCTTTGCTCAGCTCAGCAAAATAATAATAAATGGAACTTGGATATATTTAAAAAAAATTTAATTACTCGATTAAACTTACTTGTCAGAATCCGGAATTTTCCCGAGCTGTATGCATAATTGCATCAACATTCGACTATCGTTACTTTCCTTTAATACTTGCATAAGCAACGTCACGCATTTCGACATGTGTGATGCAAAGCTTCCAGGTCTATCAATTTCGTTGACGGGTATATGCCACACTCCCTACAAATCACAAAATATTATACAGGGTGCTTCAAAATAACTCGATATTTTTGAAATGTCATATTCTTAAGCAATTTTTTCTTCAGCAAAATTTTATCCAAAGATTAGTTTGAGTTATAAAATAGTTAATTAGGAACACTATTCAATAATTCAAATTATAACTCAAAAACCTTAGTTTTCAGACAAAATTTTGCAAAAAGAAAAATCGTCTTAAAAACCGCTCAAGAATATGACATTTCAAGGACATCAAATTATTCTTAATCATCCATAGAAACGTTTACTTTAAAATCTGTTTAATATATCATATTAATTTCATGTATCGTAATTACAGATCAAATAATCAAGAAAAATGGCTGTAATTTATAGCATATATATAATTATAATATTACTGTATTTATGCTCTCTTGTCACCAGGTAAGAATTAAACAATTATTTATCTTTATCATCTTATAATCTAATTGATTGAACAAAAATATCATATACTTTATATTGTTGAAATAAATTAAAGTATTACGTCGATATTTTGGACATAATAAAATATTTAAATACACAATAGAATAATTAACATTAAAAGTTTTTTTAAATCATAAAAAGGCACTGCAATACTGCGCCGACAAAGATGATAATAGATACAGATGCCGGAGGGGATGATGCTTTAGCAATAATGTTGGCTCTCATGCGTGAAGCTAAGACTCACGACATCGAAGTTTTAGCTATAACTTGCACGTATGGTAACACATATGTCGAAAATGTGATACAAAATGTGTTAAAAACTTTGACGATTGCCAATAGAAGCGACGTAAGTACTTAACAATCAAATGCTTTCGATACATGTCTAGACTTTTACAATTTACAACATTTCAAAGAAATTTTATTGTATGTAATAATAAAAATTTTGTAAAATTTGATAGATACCTGTCTACAGAGGATCTGACAAACCATTAATAAATAATTATGAACCTAGCGATTATTACGGTACTAATGGATTTGGAGATTTTGATTTTTCTCGAAACATAACTGCAAAGCTGAATACAACACAGAATGCTTCCGCGTTACTTGTAGATTTAGTGAAGCAATATCCAGGTACAATCGCTCATATTTTAAAAAAACTGTCCGTAATATTAACTTTTTCATATATATATGTTGTAATATTTTGTTTTCAGATGAAATAGTTATAGTCAGTCTTGGACCTCTGACAAATGTTGCCAGGGCAATTATGTTGGAATCCCGTTTCCTGTATTTTGTAAAACAACATGTAATAATGGGAGCAAGTATTAATTTGGACTCGGAATTCAATTTTAAACAAGATCCAGAAGGTAATTTGATTGCGTTCAATGATACTAATAAACCCAGCCTTGTAATTCCAAAAGAAGCAGTGCACAGTGTCTCTATTTCAAAGGTAATATTTTGCAATATCTAAAAGCATATAAGTTATATCGATCGCTGAATAATATCTCTATAACTCTGTATATTATTTGAACAGGAGGAATATAGAGATCTCTTCGCTAGTTTGAATCAATCTATCGCAAGCTTTTTGTATCAAGCTGAAAAACTAGGTGTAGAAAAGGCAGAATATTGGGAACCATCAGACGGCATAGCCATGGCAATTGCGCTACAACCGGAAATAACAACGGAATCGATTGAAACCAATTTGAAGCCGATAATTATGGGTGACAGAAGAGGTGCGGTTGAGATAGATTCCACGAAGAAACATAATGCAAAAGTTGTGAAAAATTACAACGTGACTGCGTTTAAAAACTTAATACTTGAATACTTATCTTAATAATTACTTGTTACTTAAATCAAATTGTGAAATTATTGTTGTATTATTCTTAATTTTTAATCTTGCGTCATATTGAATATACATCTATTATTCTACGCATATACAATTATAAAAACACTCACATTAAAAAAGTTGGTGCTCCTCCTCTCAGCGAAAAGTCCTTGAAAAGTTTGTCCAGGGTAGAATTGACAAGTGTACGTCCCTAATAAGAGATTCTTGCACTTCGCGGTATCCTTTGCCTTCTTGTTATTAAAGAAGAAGTGTGAAAGTCTGTAAAAGGACTTGTGATGCTCTGTAAATCTCAATACACACTGTTCCAAACCAGCTAAGCAATACGCGATTAACGTGGCCACTTCTTCCTCCGGCATCTGTTCTTCTGGAATTTTAAAATGTAAATGTCAAACGCAAGACGCGCGATAACCTTTTCATTGCACTTTATTGAAACATTGTGTACGCAAACAATAATAGAAGTAATTTTTCATATTGTCAATGAAAATAAAAAGCAATCCTATAATTTACCGCTTTTTATATTGTCGGTATCCTTTTTCTTCTTATCGGCGTCGCTGTCCACGGATTCGCTGTCGCTATCACTGGTGCTGTCAGTGTCGGAGCTGTCGTCGCTACTGGTAGAATCCTCGCTACTACTAGAACTAGAATTGTTCGTCTCCGTGGTCGTAGTTGTGGTTTGCGTAGTCGTGGTGCTTTCCTGAGAGCCTCTTCTACTCAGAGTCGCTTCTTCATTTGCGTTAGTTTGTGTCTTTTTCTTCTCCGGTATCTTGTCTTTACAATTTTTTTCCTGCAACTTAAAATAATCACGTTGCTTGGGTTATCTGAAAGCATACGCAGAGAAGGAAAAGAAAAGATCGGATAAACGTACAGTAGGTTGTAAGTCTTCGTTCTGCAGCCATTTGCCATCGAATCTTCTGGTGTCCTCGTCATCCGCCGAAGACTGCTGTGTTTCCTGGCTAATCTCCATTGCCTGTTTCATGAGAGCATCCATTAAATCTTGTACATTGTCAGACTTTCGTTCGGGATCAATTGTCGTTATATTTACTGAGCCTTTCTTGTTCTCCTCTGTTTTTGTCAACGGCTTGGCTTTGTCAGCACTCTTATTTTCTATCTTCTTTTTCTGCAATCTCGGCTCGTTACTCTCATCACTAGACAGAGTGATGAGTACCTCATCGCCGCTCGTTTTCTCCTTTTGCGACACCATATCGCAAACTTTAGTGATTAAATCGTCTATTAAAGCTACGACATCCTGCATTAATTGCAAGTGCGAAACGCTACTCAATTTTATTCTCTTTGTATTGTCGCTCGACAGTTCGTCAGGAAGTCTCTTGCGATTTTCGGACTTTCCTGGCTCTGTAAACTTAATATCTGAAGTTTTATTCGATCTATCTACAATTTCTATCTCTTCGATACTATTTGAGCGTTGACATACTGCTACTGTATTCTTATTCGTATCGGCTGCACTGTCGGATTCCTTCCACGTACTCTTCTCAACGTCGGCGTTCTCTTCCTTTTTCTTCTCGTTGAGTTTAGACTGATACTTCATGAAGGGCCCCTCCGAGCAATTTTTCAAATGCCAAAGAAACAACTGACCCAATGACTTCTTCAGCGGCTTTCCTTCATGCTGCTCCAAATATTTCAGTATACTCGCATGAATGCGATAATGAACCTCTAGCGCCTCTATAGATAAATTCTGTGGACTTTTGTGGCTTATTCTACGTGGATATTGAGCGTTATTCTCATATAACAATTCACTAGCCTGAAATTCAATAGCGATACTGTTGTATTATACAATTTATATCACGTGTGCATACATACGCTCGCGTATGCGTGCGTAAAAGAAAAAAATATATGTAGACAAATAATTGACCTTTGCGTAATGTTCCAAGAACACAGGAGGATCTTGATTCTTTTTCTCCGCAACTTTACCCAGCATATATTGATAGAGCCATCTCTCATCGTGCTGTATAGTTGGTTCCTCGATAGTCTGACATATCCGATTTGCAGATTCGAAGCACTGATCCGCAATTTCCAGCATCTCCTCCTTTCTGGTTTCTAGAATTTCAAATCTCTCCATGCTCAATGTGTCGGTTTCTTGCTTGAGCAATCGCGAACAAAACGAATGAACCATATAAACAAAATTCCCATACTCGGTCCAAATTACGGAATGGCCAGGCGCCAGCTCAATGGCGTGCTGATAACTCGATTGCGCCGTTTTTGCCTTGTTCAGAAACTTATCTTTTCCTCTAAATATCGAAACGGGAGAGAGAAATAAATACACAGACGATTCAGAAAGGCATCTCGGAAGCGAAATTAAGAAACTGATACTTACATAGGTCTGTAGCTGTTCAACCAATTCTCTATTATGCTGCCTGTCGCCATGGCTAGACCTGCCCAGGAATTCAGACCCCTTGGATATAAGCACAAGTCTAGTAGATAATACCGACTGGCCTGTTCCCACTTGTTGTTCTTGAAATAAAAGTCACCCATTAAATAGTAAATAGTACATGTCGCATGCGGCAAGGCTTTCGTCACGCTCGGCATTTTTTCTTTCGTGCCGAGTATGTACGCCGTCATTTCGTCTACTATCTGATTCGGATCACTCTCCTGCGGAACCAATCTGATCACCCTCTTGAACAGCATCTCCGTGTCCATGCTGATGGAAAGAATTCTAGGCGACTGAAAGTTGGGCAGTTGCTTCGGCTTGTAAAAGTCGAACAGCAGCTGCGCGCCCTCCCAGGTTAATTCCATCTGTGGTACTCCGTGATCCTGCAGATACTTCCGCTTTGTGCTCACCTTGTTCGGATGACCATAAAGGCAGAAGAATATCTGTTCCAGATATTTCGTCAGTCTATTCTTGATAGACGCGTACTGCGGCGTCTCGAGTTGCGGTATAATAAGATTCATGATGAAGAACAGGAGCTTCGCTTCGTTGAAGCAGCACCACGAGTGTCGACCGATGAATTCATGGGCAGTGAACAGAATCATGATGGACGGTGGAATGCCGTCGTCCTCATCATCCGATTCGGAGTGATGAGAGCTGTGCAATTTATTCTTATAGGATTCAGCCTTTGCTCTCTCCTTGTCCTCCTCGCTGTTGACAAATCGATTTCGCATTGTGATTGCATGGTAACAATGTATATTTTTTTTACCGCAAACTTACTATTGTAGAATGTAGTGCAGCAGGATCCAGGGTAGAACGGTCTCCAGAGGCATCTCCACAGCGTTCTCCGGTACGTCCAATTGATGGCAAACGATGTGAACTAAATTTTGCACCAACCTCGTCAGACGAGACTCCGGCAGATATTTCACTGGGAATTAAGAAGGTAAAGAGGGCGATGTCACACCGCGAGTCTCTTTTTTTTTACTTGTTTTGCGACGTGATCTTACCGACAAATACGCTGACTTGGATTGTACAAGCTTCCAATTTTTCAAGTGCCGTTACCGTCGAACTCGTCCATTTCTTCTGTTCCGCTTCATCAGAGCAGCTCAAGTAATTTTGCCAGGACTCGTTGAGACAAGCTTCTGCCCAGACGTAACATTCCTAAGAGTTTAGAATCCTCTTGAAAGTCTAGCGTTTCCCAATGCACAATATGCTATACATTTGTCATCAAAATATTAGCGACAAGTGTTACCTCGTATTGTTGAAGCTGCCATAAGCTGTCGAGTAGCATGACTAATTGTCGAACTCTGTCAACGATGTTTTCATTGGTTACCAACAATTTGTGCCTCTGCTTGGCGAACTTGAAAGTGTCCTGTAGAATGCAAGACAGTTCCATATATTTCTTCTCGTCGTACAAATGTTGGATTTCGCCTAATTTTTGACCCCTGTATTGACGTGTAATTACAAATTGTATTATCGTTGGAATATTTACTTCAATACACAAAATATGATATAATAATATTGAAAATACCTTTGAATTGATGTAAGTTTTCTCTTTACAAGTTTGGCACTAATTTGAGAATTATTGTTACAATTTAAAAGTGTGATGCATGGATTTAAGCTTCTGCTCTCCATTTCTTGCAGACGATGCAACAACTGAAAATTTATATCTACAGTTCATAACAATGTCGAGTGCTTCCGCGCTCAAAGTTGAACAAAAATTTCTTACCAGTTCTAGCGTCTCTATTACTACATCTATATCACCTTGACACAAAAAGATATTAGCTTTGAGCCACAAAATTCTTAGTAAAGTATATAAATTTTCCTCGTGTAGAAGATCCTGTCTAACACTTGTGAATATTATGTGTCCTAATTCCTCTGCTGGCATCCCAGTACCAAGTTTATCTAACCTGCAACATCAGTTTTATACAAGTTTTTTCTACCAACAATGTAAAGTTAATAAAAGAAAGATTACTAGACGCTTACGTTGAACTTGATAAAGTGTCAGATTTATTGTCTAACCATTTATCTGTGTGAAGCTCCCCGAATAACAATGTCATTTCGGTATCTAACTTTAGAGTTTTGTCACTAACGTCCTCATCAAGCGGTGACAAATGTGGAATATGTTGCCTGACGAAAAGTTGTAACTGTAAAATCTGCTCGCAACAGCACAATGAATAATTTTTATTCACACTCACCTCATAAAAATGTACGCTTGTACATAAACATCTGACATTCCCTTTGGCCATTCCTGATTCCATTTAGTGCATAGAAATTCCGCAAATTTAGCGAGAATTATCATTAAATTACTTTTGCCGCTATGCTCATTTATAAATGCATCCACATCAGTATTTTCTGCTTCTGTCTCAAAGTATTTCTGCTGTCTTTTGTTGCAAATATTAGATTAATAACATTTCTCATATTCTTACTAAAGATTGAATTCTTGACAAATACCTCGAGTCAGGGCTTGGTGATTTGGAACTTTCCGAGCTCTTGAAGGCTTCCGTATTACGATTTCTCTCCTGGTTTGCAAATAACTGATACATATCCATAGTGTCCATAGAATCATCCGGATTGCGAGTCGCGTCATCTTTAGTCAATCTTACTGTATCGGATCTGTTTAGAAAAATTATATTTTACATTTTCAAACTAAAATATATCATTATTTCATATACTTACAACAAACTACTAGGAAACAGTCTTTTAAGTGTTTCCTCTAACTGAACATCGTCCCTTTCTGCCTCCCTTCTATTCGAACCTCTGACTCTGGCGGATCGTCTCATGCTACTGCAACTCCAAGCCCATTGTTGCAAGAAACACAACGCGCTTCTGCGCCTCTTCTTCACCTTCTGTCCTTCTTCCTTTCCGTCGGTTTTCTCGGAGTGAGTTTTATCGTCTGTTTTATTCGTTGCATCGTTCGCTTTCTCGGCACCTTTTTCCGAAACTTTGTCACTCGATTTATCACTTTCCTTGTCGCTGGATTTCTCGTTGGGCGCTCCGTTATCCATGCTGTAAACATCGTCTGTGACTTTGTCACTCTCCAATTTGTCAGCATTCGCGTCTGTTTCAGATTGCATATGTTCCTCCGAATCCATGTTCTTTGTCTCACTTTGTTCTTCGCACTGTAAACCATCTGTGTCAGACATTCTTAATGGATCTTCATCCTCAATTATTTGCACGTCGGTTGAACATGACTTTTTGTCATCTTCAGTTTCAACTTCCATCGCGATATCGGAGGCTGTGTTAAAAGCCTGATTGTCATCTGATATTTCACAATCTTCTGCTTCAAGTTTAACAGATTTATTGATATCGTTTTCCACATTCGGAGCTGAATCCTGCATATTCTGTTCATCTATTTCCATAACATTACTTTCTTCGATTTCGCATTCATTGTTCGCAACTGTATTCTTGTCATCAAATTTTTGAACCGATAATACAATTCTACTAACAAAGTTCAAATCGTTTTCACTTATATACCTATGCATGTCTACTAGGCTTTCACCAAGAGCCAGCCATGTGTAGTTTGTTAAAGGCATTCTTAAGGTCAATTCTGGCAATGGTTTTGGCTTAAAGTCTGCTTTACAAGCCTCCGCCCATTTTACAGAAATCTCTTTTGCGTCTGCTAACAACTTGTCACCTAACACATGATCATATTCGGTATCTAAAGGTGGATCTAATTGCCAATCACTATTGTACAGTTTGTAACACTCTTCCAGGCATGGAATGTCTTTGAATATCCTGTCACGAAAAGCAAGTCCCTTGACATAATTGGGATCCTTTTCCAATGCCACGGAAATATATAACAGACAGTTCATATAATCAGGAACGGCATATAAGGCAGTTATTAAATTGTCCAAACAGGGCCAGTGATTGGAATTACACTTTAGACCTTGCTTGAAAGACGAACAAGCTAATTCTAAATTAGAAATCTTTATCGCTAATGTACCGATTCTATGCCACAGCGTTACGTCGGAATCATCCAAGTTTGCAGCTTCCCAATAATTCTCGATGGCGTCCACATAATTCTCACAAGCTGCTTGAATGGCACCAATGTTTTTGAAGCAGGAATATTTCAACGTTAACATTGGTCTGGATCTGCCATCTGGTACTTGGGGCTTCTCTACCTCGTCCAACAATTCAGTCTCCAAAAGATTCTTAAAAGTAACCAATGCGTCCTCTCGCTTATTCTCCTTCAATAATTCTAAGGCCTTGTTGTATTCCGTTAATGCTATTTGTTCCTGAAAAAAATTATCCAGTGTTAAAGAACGTATATACAGTATAACTTTAAATATCTAATGTTCGCGTGTATGTAAATTAATTTATGATTTTCAATATACATTTTTGGTAATTATGCAGAATAGCCACGTCACCTCCGATTTTGACCTAACTGGTCTCATTCGATGCGTTTTTTTTTTTAAAAAAACTTTTTCCTTTTACTAAAATGTCGCTCTGTCCCAGGGGACGAGATATTAAGCGTCAAAGTTGACGACTTTTCAGGTTAGAAAACCTGTCACTTTGACGAATTATAGCGATGTGAGCATACGCTGCGGTCAGGCGCGCATGCGTTGTAACAGAATTGTGCGCGGATAATCATAAATTGCAAGTCGCAAACCCATATAAAACAGTATAATTATGGACCTTGCTTTGCGTAGACACAGGGTATTCCGCCCCCCGCAGGGGGGGCGGAATACCCTGTGTAAAATAAAAATAATAAAACTTTCGTGCGTATTCCAGAGCGAC